GTGTTGTTCTTGATACAAGTCCTAGTAACATTACTGATTGTAATCCTTGCCCAGATCACTCAATTATTCAGACTCCTCCAGATACCACTCCTAAAGATACAGTTAAACCAAAGATTTCTAGCACAGGTGTTATTACTACTAGGTCTGGACGCATTGTCCACAAACCAGATAAGTTGAACTTGTAATTCTGAGTTTATTAGTGTTTTGACTTTCCTCATTGTAAGCCATTTTAGGGGGAAGGGATGTGATAACTTCGTATCTATATTTAGTAGGCTAGATGTTCTTTTGTTAGTGGTCACATGACCACCTTTGAGTTTGTAATGGCGGCAAAGCTTGCCAAGTTGTAGTCTGCAGTTCCACAGAATAAAAGTGAGTTAACGTGTTAATTGCCGTTTTTCCTGTGTGGATCTTTGCGGTGGTGGATAGGCAAACACTCGGTTACCACAGAGTCCACACACTTCAAACAAACATGTCGTTTTATAAATATAGAAAGTAAAAATTTGTCGAAATACTATTAGTCGGTTGTCGGCTGTCGTAATTCGTAAACATGATTAGATAACCCTGCTTACAGGATTGTGTGGGCGAATCGTGTGACTTGGAATAGAATAGAATAGAATAGAATAGAATAGAATAGAATAGAATAGAATAGAATAGAATAGAATAGAATAGAATAGAATAGAATATTTAACTGTCTTAGTGTGAGAATATCTGCATTTTTCTAAAGTAAGGAAAACAAATTTAGCAATTCTTTCAAGTTCAATGGCACGAATCAATGCCTTGGTGCCTGTTAAACGTTCATCATTACACATCAACAACTTTAGCATTTCTGTGATTTAGTAGATTATGTTTTGTGTGCAAATTATTATACATATACGATACTTGTTTTCAATATAAAACACATTTTGCATGGGTGCAAACAAGATTTGTATGAGGAGTTAGTAAACTCTCTAGTAAAGTCAAATCCTAGCAATATATAGTGACAGACTTTTATATTGCACTATCAAATGAGCTAATGTTATGAAAACGATTTTCTACATTTTGTGACGACCTCACTTCCCGTGACACCACTTGATTTTGGACTAATTAATTTTTGTCTAGGTACATACTATGGTTGAGTAGTCTGTTTTCATATTGCAGGGGTATTAGTGAAAATTTTAACACATTACATTTTACTTTTATACTTATTATAATATTTTCTCTTTCTTTATTCTTTAATTATTATTATTATACTTTGTTATATTATTATTATTATTATTATTTATTATTATTATTATTGCAATATTGTTGTGACTATGCAGAGGGAGTTGTAAATTATCCATAAGAATCTTATTTGTGGTTGCTTCTACCATCTGGGGGGAGGTTGATGGGGTTATCGATACAAATCTTGTTTGCCCCCTCTGTAATACTTAGGTGGGTAGTTCTTGAGCATCCATATTAATACAAACTGACTGTGATGATGTGCAATTAATCTATTGTAACAGTTGTATTTTAGATGTTGTGACTGAAGTGTGACTAATATAAAGCAATGGACTCCAACTGAATGATGAATGATGCTGTCAAGGATATTATCACCTTTGTGCATTGGACTTGTCTTATATTTTTTTTATATTTATTTTGAAAATGAAGATTTTTCTGGTAAGTTACAAATCTGACCATCACTTACATCTATATTATAAAGCTTTTATAAACCAAACACCTCTTCCAGCCTTTTCTGAATGGTTAAACAAATCTGTGTAATTCTGTAAAACTAAACAAACTTCACCTGTTTTTTTTGTACTTGACTTATGTACATTTGAACTTGACTCATGTACTGCAAGTATTTAGAAACCTCCATGTGTTTCTTCATGACCCCAAACTTCTGATGCACAACATGCAGACTAGTTTTGTGGCTACTTAGTAACTGGACACACAGGCTAGTGTTAATTCTACGGTGGAAAGCATGCTTGGTTGCTACAGTAACTTTCAATAGATTTACTTGGATGTTATCCCTCAGAGACAGTTTGTTGCAGTTTAATCTGTAAAGGAGTTAATTATTCACTAGGTTTTAATTTTGCTTATTTCGCTGACTGGAAAATACACTAAATTAAAACCCAGTGAATATGTAAAATTTAGCATAGAACACATTATCTAAATGATAAAACCGTGAATTTAAAATCCATATGCCTGAAATGGTAAATCAGCGAAATTTAAACCCAGTGAAAATTAGTCATTTTACAGTAGTCTAAGATTTATTTATTTTATTTACATGTTACAAATGTACCTTTAGTAATTTCTTGAAATGGATACCAAGATGACACAAATTATATAGATGTGTACACAGTTACTGAAAAGTGACTGTGGTTTATATAATAAAAAACAATTTATCATATTTTGCAAAAATGTTCAACCTGTTCAGAACAAAACTAAAGCTGGTATACTAAACACTCATAAAAAAAAAAAAACTGCATGGAGAACCCTCAACTATAATATTTGACTATGGCGTAAACAACATTTGTACAAATGTCTTGGGTATTCACTAAGAAATCATTTTTCAGAGTATTTGGGAGACATCCACATACTACTTCATAAGAGAAGTGTTCCTGAAGATGGTTACCAAGGGAACAAATTAGTTAAACTTTCAGACCCTGTTTACAAAAGTGGAAGGCACTTATTGTCAGAAATTGAGGAAGAATTTCCAGATCCAGTGGTAAGAAAGGAACCATTATTTTTATATTTTATAAAAAAATTGTTATCACTATGCAGTATTATTATTATATAAATCATAATAATTAAGAATAATTAGCCAGTTTGAAT